TGAGTCATTTGACTGGCCCAATTTAGGTATCGTTTTGCCCATTTCAGATGCAATGCCAATTGATTGGCAGTCACAGTTCAAAGCGCAAGATGTACAGTTGAAGTTTCCTTTTGAATTCGTTTTGTCCATTTTTGAGCACTTGTTTCAGCTTGAGTTGCAAGCAGACATTTTCGTGCCAATTAGTTTTGTAGAGCTCACAGTTTGGTGTATACGAGAGTGTCATTTATCTTTTCCATTTTGGAATCCAAGTCGTATGCAATGGGATTTGAGACCATATGATGCCTTGTTGTTGCGTCCTACTTTGGCGTCCATGGTTCAAATTGTTCGGGTTGTGTTTACCAAGGGGTGTCGAATCCTTGGCTTGGAGCAATTTCTTCTGAAAGGCATTCGAAAGCCTGAGTCAGGATTGTTTTTGCCTGCGGATGGCATGGCAATTTGTACAACAGTTGCCACCCAGGGCAATCTAGCGAGTGGCTGCCTTTCAATCGCCGGTCAGCACAAGTTGCGCAAGGCATCTGACCTGGCTCGTCCCATCTGACCTTCGAACCTTGGCGGCAACTGCACTGCCTGCGGCCGTGCATTGCAGTCAACTGAAGTCGTCCGCGATAATGTTTTGAGTAACTCATAGTAACTCATTTACAGACAGTTCGTCTGGTTCTGATCGGCAGCGAGCCCCCGGGGCCGCCACAAGCAGAAATGGCGGTATTGAAGGTCACCAAACCTTGGCCCAATGTTTGCTATACACCATTCATATTCTGGTTGGTGGTTGACCAAAACCCCTCTGAAAAAATGATGGAGTTAAAGTCAGTTGGGATGATGAAATTCCCAATATGATGGGAAAAACATGTTCCAAAGCGCCAACCAGTATTGATCTTGATATATTAGTCTATATTCATACAATGTGAGGCCCCCAAGATATCTAAGTTGGTTTATAACTCCAATAACTATGGTTTATGGTACTTATAACGAACTAGTTACTGGGGCGAATCTAAACCAACTAATAACTGGGGGGCATCACATTGTAGAACGGCCCATGGCCATGTCAGGCAAACTGATGATTCATCAGTTCTGCGAATCATACCCGCTGTCATCATGGCTCCATGGCTCAAAAAATTCACCATGGCTTCGATGATTTTCCCAGCTCTAAAGCTCTATAAATTGGAGGATTTCACACTGGCGTGTTTTGATGAAAAATAAAAATAAATGAATAGACGCATCATGTGGTAAACAACCAAAAAATACAACATAGCAAACCATGAGGGTACACTCGATCGTCAGCAAATAGTTCCATGGATCCGGAACAAATCTAGGAACAATCCAATAAATACAACATATGTTATATTTGTTCTCATAGTTTCTCAAGATCTTCCCATCTCTTTTCAAGTTGTTCCTGCATGTTTTCCATGTTTGCCAAACATTTCCCATCAGTTTCCCACACTTCTCCCATGAAAACCTGCTGAAATGCCACAGAAATCCCACCCTCTGAGGATTTCGCTGGGACTCTGCTTGGACGCCAGCAGAGCTAGGCCCTGGTCCCAAACACTGGAAACTTCACAGGCCTTCAAAGCGGCCTTGGGAGACGAGGGGGTGCTTTATCGTGAAAAACACATGTGAAGACATTTAGATACAAACATATATATATATATATATATGTATAAATATATATGTATGTATGTATGAATGAAATGTAATGTAATGTAATGTAATGTAATGGAATGGAATGTAATGTAATGTAATGTAATGTATGTATATATGTATGTATGTATTGTAATGTAATGTAATGTAAATGTAAATGTAGTGTAATGTATGTATATATGTATGTATGTATTGTAAAGTAATGTAATGTAATTAAATGTAAATGTAATGTAATGTAATGTATGTATATATGTATGTATGTATGTATGTATATATGTATGTATTGTAATGTAATGTAATGTAAATGTAAATGTAATGTAATGTATGTATATATGTATGTATGTATTGTAATGTAACGTAATGTAAATTTAAATGTAATGTAATGTATGTATATATGTATGTATGTATTGTAATGTAATGTAAATGTAAATGTAATGTAATGTATGTATATATATATATATGCATGCATGCATGCATGCACGCATGTATGTCTTAATACACTTATGGACTTAGAATTCATATATATATACATTAAAATGTTATCCAATGTTTATCTCATCCAATGATATGTTGTGATAATCCACAGATTATCTACCTAAACATTGTTTTACTGCACACTAGAAATATTGTATGATAATAAAACGTATAGAATCGTATTGAACAAATGAGGGACTTGGCTCCAATTCCAACTAATTATATACAGTTTAATCTAAATCTTGCTCAGCTTATCCCCAAAGAAATGCTGACTCACACCAAATGAAAGGGGAAAACTTCGACAGAGCATTAATGATGACCAGCGGGATTCCTATCATCCTTTACCGTTATCTGGATTTTCGCTGTCAACCACAAACATGTGGGTGGAGGCTATGTCAAACAGTCGCTGAAAGGTGAATTTACCCATCTCCCAAACAAAGACATCTTAAAAGCAACATTTACTACATCTTATCCCGCCAACAAAAACTATACCAAACATCTTGACCCGTCTTATGATATATTGGTATAGTTTTTAGATGTTTGGTATGACATATTGATATAAACAACCAAACACTATAACAAAACTATACTATTGGTATCAATGAATGCTAGATTTTCTGGCAGCAACATCGAGATATATTGATAAACGCAGTCCACCCAGCCATTTTTGAAGTACAGCAACCCATTAGAATAGATAAACGACTTTAGACAACCTTGAAACAATATGTCTGGGCAAATTATCATAATTCACTCACCTGAATTAAGGCCATAAAAGGGGATGATTTCCCGATATCTAAACCATGATTTCCAGGGCTCGGTCGCAGTGTGTCTGCCCATGGGCCCAAATGGGCCCAAGGTGGTTGATGTTTTATCCGATTTTAAGGCTATCTCAATTGGAAACCATGGCAGAGTCATGGAATGTCATGGGTATCAAATTTATCGAAAGTTCCAGAGACTGACTCGAAAAGTGTAGAGTTGGGTTGATATGAGATGTAGAAAAACTATAATCATTGGTATCCCATATGGGTATGGGTCAAAATTAGGTACCCCAATAATTGGATGGTTAATACTAAACTAGACTTTCACATCTGTGGTCCCACATCGGTCTTCCATTTTGACCCACATCCATATGGGAATATCATGGGGACAATTGGGACATGGGGTCAATCATGCCTATTTTTCGGATATTCGAGGTGCCTCTACTTCTCCCTTTCAAACGTTGAACCCACAAAAAATGACCTACGCAATACCCATATGACTTTTGGTTGTGTCGGAAAATGAGAATGATACACCCAGCCAAGTGATGGCATGTTCTTTATAAAAAATGAATGCTGAAGCATAAACTTCTGGGGCACCATATTTTCAAACAACCACATATGCAGTAACAACATTCAATCTTTCGGACCATCATGTGGATCTTTCGGGGCAGCCATATGTGGTGAACAGAATTAGACCATACGAAAGGTCCGTGAAACTTGTTGAAGAATTGAATGAAAATGGAAATATTGAATACTCCTAAAACCCTCAAAGAAATACCATGTGTTTTTGTATATACTTGGAGGGTCTAGGCTGGAATATTGAATGGGTGGTTTAACCATGTTTAATCAGCAACAATGGGGATATGCTGGAAACCAATGGGAAATCATTGGAATATGATGTGAATAATATCCAATAGCCTCCTGTAAATTAACGTAGACATGGAACACTCGCCGTAGATGTATCTCCTTAGAAAGCCCTTTGATTTTCTATCTATTGCTGTATGTTTATTGAATGGTATTTGATGTAATCTGATACGGTGAAACTGCTTGAAACTGCTGGAAATTTGAAGGTCATGAATCATGGTGCTATTCTGTATTACCGTTGGCTACTTCAGGATGAGAATGAGACTTGGATGCACCAAGGATCCGCAAACACACCATGGGTTGCCGGTTATCCCATTTAGAGCTGACTTAAAAACCTGACGAACCACTTAGCAGTTGAACCAACAAGTATGAATAGCAGATCTGGATTGGTCGATTGTTGTGTACCCCTCAACTTGATGAATATGATGATGTCTTCCATTGAAATGGGACTGTTGAGGTATATAAGGTATATATATATATCTATATATTTCCGGGCTTCACTCCGATGTATTTAAACCATTTTCAAACGACCGAACTGGATCTAGGGCTGCAGCATTCAAGCAGACGATGTCAGGTTGAATTGAAGACCTTGGCTCGATTCAGTAGGGCTCACTAGGGCATCACGGAAATGGGTTTGTCCAAGAATCAGGTTTAAGAAGCAGCATTGTGATTATTTGCCAGAACTAGACTCCAGATGGATTCAAAGTTCCCATATATGGCTAACATCTCTATCCCCATTTCCAGTTCATAATCCCCAATGAAATTATGGAACACTGTTTCAGTCAAACCCAAAATTGGTGATTACAGCATGTTATCCCCAGTTGACCCCCTTTCACCCTACGGTTTTGGGAGCCTTCGAAGGCAGCGAACATGGCCAAACTCAGATACCCTGCATACAAGCAATATTTTTTGAGCTGGCTAGCAAATAGTTCCATTATGTGCCATTGCAACAGATTCAAAAGATCAAGTTGTCCTCAACTACCTCACCATTTTGTTTGTGTTATATCCCATATTGTTGCTAGTTACATTTTATATTGTCAGCTACCCTCTGGTAAACTAACATAACTATGGAAAATCACTATTTTTCATGGCTAAATCCACGAACTAAATCACAATTTTCAATAGCTATTTTGACATAACCAGAGGGTATCCTCAGGTCATTTGGCATAAGTATGGGACATCACCATCTGGGTAAATTATAATATTTCACTAACCTGAATTAAGGCCATAAGAGGGCATGATTTCCCTTATTAACCATGATTTCCAGTGAGGTCGTAGTGAGGTCGTTATAATTTACCCAGAAGTATGGGAAATCACCATTTCAAAGTTTGGCAACGAAAGTCGCACGAGTTCAAACGGGTCATGGGGCCATGGCGCCACCATCATTTCCAAGGTCTATCTTGTTCCTGAAAGTTTCCTGGAACATAAATAATGGTTAACATTTCTAAGTTTAGCCAAAGTTTGGCATTTAGATGGTTAACATAAATAATCTTAGAAGTTGAAGATGTTTGATTACCAAATTATATAGATTCTATAGATGTTTAACATTTCCTATAGATTCTAAAAGTTGAAGATGCTCCACTGCGATGTTTGATGACCAAATAGTTTTTTCTTTTCCAACAATCCATTATTGATATCCTACTAATATTCCGTAGAATATTCCACATTGCATATATCCATAAATCAATGGTATCTTGTTGTTCCCAAAATAAATAAGATATCATATAATGGAATTTTAGTGGGATGATCAAGTAGTTGATAGCCGGGCCGGAACATATTATCCACTCATATGTTAACATCCTCCTGATTTTGGTTAATACGGCCTTCCATATATCGTGGTGAAATAAACCTTCCACGCTACATTAGTCCATTCTATCCAAGGTATTAAGAACAACAACAACAATAAAAACAAATCTCCAGTAATATATATATATATATATATCATTATTACATAATGATAATAATAGTAGTAAGAATAAACACTCATGATAATTAAAAACACTAGTGACATATTATCTGGATACATTCCATATACGGTTAATATCATTCTTATTCCATTATATCGTGCTTAAGCAAAACCTTCCACCATCGAACTGGCAAGCCACTGTGGCATGGAGCGGAGCAAAGCACATGCAACTTCCCATGTCTGGCCTGGGTGTTGGCTTCGCAACCCGATGGAAAAGTAACCAGCCATGCATGCTGATTCAATGAAAACTAATGCTGATTTGATGGGACATAAAAAGGTGATTTAATGAACAATAATGCTGAGTTGATGGGTCATAGAGGTGATTTAATGGAATATAAGGGTGATTTGATGGGATACAATGGGAATCTAAGGGCATATGGAATATCATTGGCATATATTGCAGATTGGTGGTGTCAACATGTGTCAACCATGGCTTTTGGGGGGTACCCAGTCTAAAGGCATACAGGAAAGGGCGCGCAAGTTTGAGAGGTGTCTAACGTGGTTTTCTTCATGTTCTTTCAATAGGCTAAGTAAGCAGTGTTCAAAATCCCTCTATCATTCCATTGGTACTGGTTGGTTAATAGGGATTCCTCAATTGGATTATTGTAATCCCCAAAATATTGGCTAGTATAATCCCCGAACTAATCATCGACCAATAGGGGTTTTGAATACTCCTCAAGTGTTGGATTTCTGGCGGAAGTTCGTGGGAACAAACATCTCAAGGCGGTCCCCCAGTAATGTTTGTTGGCTCCTAAACCATGATATGTATATACAGATATATCTGTAATTATCTGGTTGGTGGTTTTAACCATCTTGAAAAATATGAAAGTCAATGGGAAGGATTATCCCATATATTGTGGACAATAAAAAAATGAAACCACCAACCAGTTATCTGTATATACTATTGTATATACCATTGTATACCAGAACCAGGCAGAAACCCTACTGAAAGTGGAGTTATGTTCACCAACTTTGCAAATATGTTGCCACCCTTGCACCCTGTAGCCGTAAAGGGTTCACCATTCCATGTCCACTCGTCGGCGGTTCGCCCAAGCGTCTACACGCAGTCACCAGGCTGCTCCAGGCAATTCCATCTGCCTCAATCCTGGTCCAAATGCTGGGGGGATCATCCATGATCATTCAATAGGAATGTGAGGCCCCCCAGTGATGTTAGTTGGTTTAGATTCGCCCCAGTAACTAGTTCGTTATAAGTACCATAAACCATAGTTATTGGAGTTATAAACCAACTTAGATATCATGGGGGACCTCACATTGTAGGAAAAGACAAACCAATCAAGGAAGGATTAAGGAGGCTATAAGCTCACAGAATGCATCAATCATGAGCCTTTTTTTTCTAAGGAGGCTGCTAGAGGCGAATCATCGGAATCGTAGGGAATCCTGTGAGTGGTGAAAATCACCAGTGGTGAATATAGCATATCTAGCTACAAGTCGTTCACCTATTTGTAGATGGAAGTCTTTTTGAACATATGATAAGATAAATAACAATATTCATAATCATGACTATGACATCGTACTGGGAATGGTGAAAATAAACATATAATCATACCTATGAGTTAGTACAATGCTAAACATAACATAACATAACCATATCTCATAAGTCTGACTTAGTACAATGCTAAAGCAATAACCCCTTTTCGGATTCACTCATCGATACATGGATTGACCGGTTCTAAGGTGGTCGCAGCAGTGAGAGGTTTGTTGCTTTATACAGCCTGTTAATATTATAGATCAATTGGGAAATATCAATCAACAATATAATGGAATTGGGAAATAACACTATTGTATAATATAAATCAATTGTTCAAGGTTTGTTAAAACTTGAACAATTGAATGGATTTGGGAATATAAAAGAACTCCTTGTAAGGGCATTTTTAAGGGTACAAATGGAGGGTCTAGGTACCATAAACCCAAACGAATTCACCGAATGTGAAATAAACCAGCTATTGTGGCTATTGGAACTGGGTGCACCACCAAAGAACCCCCCAAATACAATAGGTATCAATAGGTATATGTTTTAATATCGTTAGATAACCAGTCACCCCTTTTTTTCCTCTGGCAAGCGATTTTCCCACTGGAATGTCCGTTGAGTTGGGGTCTCCCACCTTCAAGTCCCTACCAGTTTTGGTCCATGTTAAAAGCTGCTACCCTCTGGTCATTTCTTACAGTTGGCGATGGCCCATAAAAAAGGTGCCCTTGAAAATATATATGTATAATATATATATATATATTATATATATATATAATATAAAGAACCGTTCTTTTTTCGATGATGGATCTTTCCGCGCTCGAAACGTCATGAATTCATGAATTCACCCAGATCGGCGGGCTGGCCTTGAAGCCCGCATCGCGTCGAACACGGCCAAGGCGGAGTCCTCAGAATCAACTGATGGCCATTTCAGGGCCGCCGCAAAAAAATAATAGCCATGGGACATGACCCACAGAAATAGACGGTTTACCTAGCTATATAGCATGGTGGATGTCTCCATGGCTATGTTAGTCATAACCAAATGGTATAAAAGCATTATTAATAGGCTATTAATGGCTGTTCCATAATGTTCCAACGATCAAGTCCAGTCCAGTCCAGAAAAAATCGAGTCCAACGATCTTCCTGGCCAGGGACTTACACCGCTTTTTTGCACCGCGTTTTTTTTGGGGGGAAACTATCCTGGCCGCCTCCACCCTGAGACATGGACCCAGTAGCCAGGCGCCTTGCAAGTTGTGTCTGTCGTCAAGGTTTCCAGGTCGAAAATGGCTTTGTTGCTTTCAAACAACACATCTACAGCTAGATTGGTGGCTCATGCCACTTAGTATAAGTATACTTTATAACATGTTATAACCCCTACTTAGCCCATTTGTACCCAGGGTTATAATAATGACCAGGGTTATAATAACCAGGGTTTATAAGTTATAACCTATTTACTATGGATGAGCCACCAAATATAGTTATATATCTCCGGCATCAAGTGACTCAAGTGAAATAAACCAACTCAGCTATCGAACCTAAAGGCTCCACCGTTTACCAACCAGTGTTGATGACTTTTCCATCTGATCGGCTGATATCGGCTGGTTGACCTACCCCCCTGAAAAATATGAGTTCGTCAGTTGGGATTATTCTTCCCAACTGAATGGAAAAATAAAAAAAAAACCAAACCACCAACCGATGTTGATGACTTTTCCATATGATCGTTTTTGGGGAGAGCAACATATCACATATGAATAACTTCCACTAATGTTTTGATGTGAATTTCTAACGTGTTTTCCAGCTTGATCTGTGACTGGTCAAACATATAGGATTCCAACAACCGCTCTGCGGTCAAAAGATATGAGCCGACAGCATTCAAACCTAAATTCAGAAACGTCCACCAATCCGGACACTATACCCTCAACATACCCTCTAGTAAACTAACATAACTATGGAAAATCACATTTTTTAATGGGTAGATCCCCTATTTCTATGGCATTCTATGGCCATGTTCAATAGCTTTTTGTGTGTTTACCAGGCCGGGCATCTAAAAGGTTGCAATTGAAGATCCCCGAACAAAATGGAGGTATGAAGGTTTAGCAACGGGTGGAATTTCCAACCACGCAGCCTTCATGACACCCGTAGATCACTCGTCTTGAGCTTGGGATCCAAAGATCTTATCCCATGAAAAGCCACGGCGAAAATCTGTGGATGGGCCAGCGAAATCCGATAAACCAACCGGATGGTTTTTCAACCCGAAGAAAATCATGGGATGTTTACCACCGTTTTCAACTGTTTTTTTTAGGATTTCGCAACCATCCACCGTATGTCCCCATAAACCACCTTGGCAAATCTCATCAAGCCGCGCTGATTCATCTGCTGCTTGGGGTCAACTGCCACCCGTAAAACATCATTGATTCATTGATCAATGCTCCTAGACCCCCCCAAAATGGTGTTTTACCGTCTTACCCCATCATGGTTCTGTTTTTACATGTTTTTACTATATTTTATCATATTTTTCTTGTGGTATTTGGAAGGTTTTGGCCCACGGATAAGTGGTGAAGAAGCATAGCTAGTTGGACCCAGGGCCGGGGCGAAGGAACTGATAGCAGCTGTGTAAGTGACGACCTCAGCAACTCAGGTCCATTCGCGCTCGATTTACGGCCCAAAAAAAGTGTTGGTTAGCCATGGTTAGCAGAGGTTTTGCAGGTTTGTTGACCTTGATAAGAAGGGAAATTCTATGAACTTCCAGTCTGCTACGGTGTACATTTCCATTTTTTGAAAAAAAAATCCTTGGATAATTAGTACATTGCATACCAATCATGGGAGATGTAGTTTTTTTCAAGTTTCGAGTGATTCGCTTGGGTCCTCACCAGCACCAAACCTGGGAATAGAACTTGGAATTGCTTAACACCAACAGAAAACATAGTAAATTCAACATTTCTGGTAGATTAGTTCATGGAAAGATCAACAAAAAGCCTTCAACTCCCAACCCGCTGGGACAAAGAACAGTTGAACAACCCAAGTTTTAAAGGAAAAAACATGGTTTCCTCAAACTGCCTTAAATAAATCCATTGAACAATGGGATGGTTGATGATGGTTGGTACGAATTCAATCACCGAACATAAGCGAAATCTTTGGGCTGAGTTTTGAATTTTGACACGAAGGGAACTATTTTCCTATAGATCCTCGGTTGGTACCCTTAAAAATTGGTATTTACCCCCAATTCATCGAACTAAACGCATCATTTTCAATAGCTACCTTAGGCTATGTTAGCTTAGAGGGTAAATCTCCCCAAGATTTCTGTGATGGTGAAGTCGCCATATTTGTTTTTTTAATTGATGGCCATCCATACCAATCATACCAGGTGGCAGTGAGGAATTCGCCAAGATATCCCTGGGGCCTCACCCTGTAGAAATCGCCGTTGAGTCCCAGTTGCCCCGACTCAACTGGTGAACCCTTCGATTGTCAATGGTCGTTTCAATCCCCTTCGGCCAACCGGCGCCCATTTCAATGGTTGACACAAAAGAGTTGTGTTTTTTCTTTCAGAATTTCGGAAAATAGTCTGAAACCTCCGTGAGTTCACTGGAGGGGGCACCACCTTGTACAAAAATTGTTCATGCTCTGTGATAGTCATGTCCCAATGTTTCATCACATTTCTGATGGCTTAGATTCTGTTTGTTGGTTTAGATTCACCCCATTAACAATACGTCTGCCAGAAACCATAGTGATTGGAGTTCTTTGCACCAACTTGGCCTTGTAGATTTCTAGGATGAAACTCATGGCTCAACAATGCTCGACCAGTTGAAAGACAGAGCTCCAAAAAGGACATATGAGGTGAGTATTCCACAGATCGCAGGTGGTTCAGAACCGTACTTTTCCATATCCCCATATGTGAACCATGGTGCTGGTGTATAAAGACCTACATGACTGGGTGATTTTCTGGGGGTGCAAATGTTGATGTGCAGAAATTCCATGGAGCTATTTTTGGGATATAGATCAAATAACCCACAAAAAGCGGGTGCCGAATCCGACCTCCAGTGGTTTAAGTGTTATTGATTTAATATTTGTTTATAACCATTGATAGTTGAGTTACGATGAAAAACATGATTATTCATGTTTATAACCTTGTTTACAACATTGTTTATAACATTGATCATAACATTGTTTATAACATTGTTTAAAACATTGTTTATAATTCTATAATCAATGAAACAGTGATGTTCAATAATTATGTTCCCTTACTTTCTTTCTGTACCTTAAAGGGTACTATCCAAGCCGTTCCTCTCGAGTCTCCAGGCATCCGCTTCCACAGCAAATTGCTGTGCATTGTCCAGCAACCACATTGCCACCTAACGGGGCCAACGGCAAAAGGATAAGACCAAACGGGACCAAAACGGTAACATTGGCTACCCGGCCTGGTAAACTAACATAACTATGGAAAATCACAATTTTTAATGGGTAAATCCACTATAAATTGTCATTTTCAATAGCTATGTTAAATTACCAGAGGGTAATGATGATGAATGATGAATGATACACTATTTATAGGTGATATTCTTATTGAAACCCCCATTTCTAGTGGATTTCCAATAAAAACCTTCCCATATATTCTGGTTGGTGGTATAAAATTCATATTTTTCAGAGGGGTAGGTATACCAGTGGTATACCTACCCCTCTGAAAAATATGAGTTCGTCAGTTGGGATGATGACATTCCCAATATATGGAAAAATAAAATTCATGTTCCAAACCACCAACCAGTTAATGATGATGAATGATGATGAATGATGGTGATTGATGGTTAGTAATGGTTAATGATGGTGATTAATGGTGTGATTAATGGTGATTAATGGTGATGAATGGTTAGTAATGGTTAGTAATGGTTAGTAATTGTTAATAATGAATGATTAATAACGGTAACAATCCCATCCCCCATTCAAAGAAAAAACACAAAAAAACACCCCCATTCTGTGGTCCCACTTAAGGAAAATTCCCTATTTAAAGCATGGTTTCGTTTTTAGGGGGTTTAACAAATAAGGGGGAAGGAGCTAACGTGGTTTCGGTGATGTTCGGATTTCCATCGGTGACTTTCCATACAATGTGAGGCTCCCCAGTGATGTTAGTTGGTTTATAAACCCCATTAACTATAGTTATAAGTACCATATACCATAGTTGTTGGAATTATAAACCAACTTACCTATCTTGGGGGCCTCACATTGTATGTAAATTGCCAGATTGTAATGGATGGATATACAGTAGCTAGTTTGAAATCGCTGTGGTTAAATACTTTCTTATCCCAAAAAAAATCCCCTTACCCCA